CTGGATATTTCCCCAATAATAATTTCACATTGATACTCAAGATCACCATTTGATGATTTATTAAATGAACTTGAACTATTACTAACTGCAGCAGTATCCCAAGTAAGATTAACAGAATGAAGATATGCATAATTATTGATATTTTCAAGTAATGCTCTATTCCCTACAGTACAGTTTGTCATCATGTTGCTACAGCTGATGGCACTAGCTATATTAAGGAGCCCAAGTTTAAAATACAAGTTGTAGTTAAAGTGTTCAGTTCCAATTTTAACACAGTTCAATGTAATCTGCTGAGGAAATACAGTCATATCAGTAAATAGCTTAAATGTGAATGACGATATCTCAATGGACCCTATACACACATGAGTAAGGATCATACAGTATTAATAATTACTACTTACTCAATATATTAGCAAATATGGTAGTGTTCGTATTTGAGCAATCAGTGGGCAGACAGCACTTGTAAAGTCCTTCATTGCTGGTTGAGAAATTACTATTATTAGGTAAGTATAGACTGAGAGTAGCATCAGGTGAAGTGACATTAGTACAGAGGAATGGATCAGTCTCACTATTATTATGGCAATTAATGGAAATATTTCCTTTTACTCGAACCCATTCACCACTAGTGAGGATATTGTTAGAAAGTATACACTCTAGTTTAGTGGCATTAGTGATGTTTGTATTCCAGAAATAAGAACCATTAGAATAACACTGTTGATTGTGAAGCAAATACAAACCTATATGATAGAATAACATACATTTATTGTGTATATCATTTTAACAAGTTACCAAAACAATTAGTTAATACACTGATTGTATTAGCAGGTCCCAGTAATTGTTGATAGGCTCTGACTGTGATGCTATAAGTTGTGTTTCCTTTCAACCCTCCTATTGTTAATGTATCATTACTACTTCCCTCCACCTGTACTGTCTGCACAGTATCTGTGTCATTAGTGACATTGACTACATATCCATCAGCATCAGATGAATTAAATGTAATCCAACTGACAGTGATAGTGGTAGCTGTCTTGTTGACCTCAGTAAGAGAAGAGGGAGCACTTGACGGAACTAAAATATACTGCATATTTTAGGATTGAGCATATATAATTTGTCACCTTTTATAGATATATTACGTGTTCTAGTAGGTTGATCGGGGACTTTTAGTACACACTGATACATTTGATCTCCAGTGGTTGATTGACTGATTGATCCACTACTGACAGTCATTCCATCCCATGTGATATTAACAGTATATCTTATTGTGTAGCTACTTCTAACTAACTCGGTACCAGGACAAAGACTATATCGATCATCACAAGTAGTATGACTAGCCAGTGCAGTACTACCAATGTTCACACTAATACCATACCCATAGTGTCCAATTTTTGTACAATTCAGTTTGTATTCCTGAGGATATACTGTCATATCAGAAGGAAAATCAGCAACAGTAAATGATTCTATTTCTGCAAATCCTACAAATGAAAATTATTAATTAGTAAGTGATAGCCTCCTCTTACTGAATATATTAGCAAAGATGCTGTTAGTGTTAGGATCTGAACAATCAGTGGGTAGACAACACTTGTACCAGCCTTCTTGAGCTGCTGGTAGTCCCTGAGCAAGATAAAGATTGATAGTAGCAAGTGAAGTGACATTAGTACAACGAAAAGGATCATTGTCACTATTATTGTTACAGTCAACAGGATCATCATCAGGATCATCAACTCTAACCCACTGACCAGTAGTTAGACTAGTACCAGGTAACACACATGATATAGCTTCAGTAACTACATTGACGCTACTATCCCAAAAATATGATCTATTAGAATAACAGTTTCCATTATGCTCTAAATAGATGCCTGAAAATTAATATAATTACATTTGTATTAATTCAAATCAAAATACCTTCTTGTTGACAATGAATGAAGACACTGATTGTACTAGCAGGTCCCAGTAATTGTTGATAGGCTCTGACTGTGATGCTATAAGTTGTGTTTACTTCCAACTCCTCTATTGTTAATCTATTATTACTACTTCCCTCCACCTGTACTGTCTGCACAGTGTCTGTGTCACTAGTGACATTGACTACATATCCATCAGCATCAAATGAATCCCACCTGACAGTGATAGTGGTAGCTGTTTTGTTGACCACAGTAAGAGAAGAGGGAGCAGTTGCTGGAACTATGAGTGGAAAAATGTAACTAGTATGATTAACTTAGGAATTACCTTTTATAGTTACAGTACGTATTCTAATTGCATTAGCATCAGGATGATCTGCTACTCTGCACTGATACATTTGATCTCCAGTGGTTGATTGACTGATTGATCCACTACTGACAGTCATTCCATCCCATGTGATATTAACAGTATATCTTACTGTGTTACTACTTCTAACTAACTCGGTACCAGGACAAGGACTATATCGATCATCACAACTAGTATGACTAGCCAGTGCAGTACTACCAATGTTCAAACTAATAGCATAACCATAGTGTCCAATTTTAGTACAATTCAGTTTGTATTCCTGAGGATATACTGTCATATCAGAAGGAAGATCAGCAACAGTAAATGATTCTATCTCTGCAAATCCTACAAATAAAAATTATTACATCAGTAACTGTGATTATAGTCTCCTCTTACTGAATATATTAGCAAAGATGATGTTAGTGTTAGGATCTGAACAAATAGTGGGTAGACAACACTTGTACCAGCCTTCTCGAGCTGCTGGTAGTCCCAGAGCAAGATAAAAATTGAGAGTAGCATTAGGTGAAGTGACAGAAGTACAATGAAAAGGATCATCGTTAGTATTATCACAGTCAACAGGATCATCAGGATCAGCTACTCTAACCCACTGACCAGTAGTTAGATTAGTACCAGGTAACACACATGATATAGCTTCAGTAACTGCATTGATATTATTATCCCAAAAATATGATCCACTAGTAAAACAGTTCCCATCATGCATCAGATATATATCTGTAAAGTAGTGAGATATAAACACAAGACACATTAACATACCACTACTAGGAGGACATTCACACAATCCATTATTAGTAAGAACTAATAGACAAACCAACAATAGCAGCATAAGTCTTGATACCAGTAATCTATCCATTGTCTGATAATAATGTATTTCCTACTCTAACTGGTGACTTTAAACATAACATATTTATACACAAAAAGAGCAGGTGGATTAATCTCAAGACAATGGATAGTTTAATTATTGCATGCACAATAATTAATAATTAAAAACAGCTAGAGAGATCAGTAGATCAGTGTATGCATAGATTGTGTGTATATACAGCAGTAGCTGTAGGTTATTGTTCAGTTTGTTCTGATTGTATGGCTGCTGCTTCCTTCAACCATTTCTGCATAATATCATTAACTACTGGCAAGAGTACATGTTGCTACTGGTGGATTAGCAAAAGTAGACACATCTCCTAACCCCTCAATAAATTATTAGCAATTTTTCTCAAAATACGTCACATTATCTTTCCTGATCTGGTCTTAGGTAAACAAGGAACTATCTATTGAAAAACACTGAGTGTTTGTCAAAGTGCGGATGAGGCCAATAACATAAACTGACTGTACACTATGCATATCAGTGACAATGCAATCACTATGTACATGCATTATGGAGTACATTATGTGACTCCTGATTATAAAATAAACAGAAAATGTTTATTGTTAAGCTAATGAAAAGTGAAGTATAACATAAACATTGCTGGAACAAAGTAAACTTCAATGTTTGCCCAGTTAAATGCATCATTGAATCAGTAGTTTGTATGAAGAAGAAAAATAGAAGCGAATCAACAGTATAGACTAATGGTTCTCTGTATGCATTATTTTTATTCCATTTTTGATACATTATCGATGATCTTATGCTATATAGAAAGTTTGAGCTTATTTCTACTTCAAATCTTTAAAGTTATGGCCATTTAAAAAAATCAAGCAAAATCTGAAAAAGAATCAAGACTGAAGCCCATGGTTTTCCAAAAAATGGCTCCAAAATCCCCCAAATTTTTATTACATTTTATGATACATATTGAAAAGTCATTAGCATTATTAATTTCTTAGTTTTTATTCAAAATTTTCTGCTTAGTGATTACTATATTAAAACTGAAGCAACATCTACTATACATCAATACAAACTGTAATACAACAGGTTAATCAGTAGAACAAGTTAAATATGTATAATTATGTAAAGTTAGCATAAGTACTGTGTAACTTTAAGTACATTTGAACTATATTAATCCTAATAAATTGTAGTAGCTGGCCATGGTCGAATAACAAACATCAAGAAGGCTCACAAATGACACAATTCACATATTTTTTCACCAAATTTGTTGTCATATTTTATAACCAATCATTATTTAATCATTATCAACACCATTAGAAACTTAAAGAAAGGCTACGTAAGTCATCTTTTCTTTTTTTAGAACTATTTAAGTTTTAAATTTATTTTTAAAGCATAGCTCAATTGCTTCTAATCATTGCTAATGCTATAAACACCACAAGACATATTATCCATTTCCTTCTAAATTATAATGAAACATATACAAAGCAAGTTTATATACAAAACAAATTCATGTGCATGATATAGATAATTATGTTATGGAGAAAGTTAGAGCAAACTCAATTAAAATTGATTTTCAAAAATTTGAGACCATGAACTATACAAAATTTAAAATTGCTATTCCATTTTTTGATGCATATTGATGCCCTTATGCCATGTAACAATTTTAAGCTAATTTGAATTAAAATTAAATTTTGTACATGGTGCAATTAAAAGTGCTCTTGAGTTGATACACTCATTACACATACTTGTGAGATTATGTGTCATCTACAAGTATGTATAAATTATGCATGGATATGCATAATGATGTTGTATATGATTAAATTATAGTGGGAGTGTATATTATTATTATTATTCATGGTATGATAGATCTTGCTATTAAATGCATCCGGTATTTCCAAGCACTGGAATTCTGATTTTTTAATAATTATAGTCTATATGCCAGTTTAAATTAACTTAGTCTGAATTCCACACAGCACTCAAAAAACATTTTAAAAAGTTATCATACATGTTTGTGCTAAATTTAGCATCATGCAGTAAAATATTGATTTTTATCATTTTAAACCTGAAACTAAGGAAGTGTGACGACTGTAGTTTATGTTTGAACAAATGCCTTGCTGCTTGGTTAAGATGTTAAGATATGTCATCAAGAGAGGAGAGTCATCATGGAAACAATGAACTAGAAAAAATTCAAAAGTGTAACATTGCTAATAACTAATAAAGTAAGGATTTTCCAAAAAGTAACAACATCTAGTATAAACTCAATTACAACACAGTAACAGCAGGACAAAAACAACAAGTATTAATTACTCATCTATTAACATAATTTATTACCAAAACTACGCTGACAATTCACAAAGTGGTTCCTTCTCATCTGGTTCTTTATCATAAGCTCCTTGTTCACGTCCCTGGAAATTCCTCATCTGAACTGTCTTTAGGATCAGCATCAGTAGATTGATTGACAAGCATCTGATATTGGGAACTTGGGATTTGCATTACTGGAAGAGAACGATTTGTTGATCTTTCTTTCTTTATATTAGTCCTCACACACCATGCAACTACTGCACATCTGTATAATAAACACAAATAATTATAGTTATTATACTGTATGCTACAACTTACCCAATAACAGATACCAAAATTATAAGAACAGCAAGAAGGACAACAATGACAACTCCAATAGAACCAAAGACCTGCGAATTATTTTGTGCATTTGATCCCACTGTTAGTTGAGCACTAGTCTGCACACTGCTACTACTAGTCATCATGCTACTCACAGAGAAAGTGTAGCTAGTAGATGATGCACTGTGTGTGGGTCTGTCACCACCTTTTGAAGATGAAACACTGTTGATGATAGCTGATACACTATTATGAAATGACATCCTGCTACTAGTAGGTGATTTAACAGTAGAATAAAAGAATTCACTGGAAACTGCAAATAATACACTGGTAGTAGTAGATGATACACTGTTTATGGTGGTAGAGAATATACTGCTACTGCTGCTAATGATTATACAGCTAGAAGATGATACCCTACTAGTCAACACACTGCTGGAACTAGGTCATATCCTGCTACTAGAAACTCTGGTTGAAGTACTACTGCTGTTAATATAGTTTATAGTAACTGTACATACAATTTTAGATGATATTATGCTCAAACTTGGAGGAGATGAGAGGCACCTTCAGAAAGAGAATGAGTTACTTTCCAACAGCTAGAGAATGATTGCTCATCTCCATGGCAGAGAGAGTAGCTATAATGTATTGCCCTGTCCGGTTTACCAAACCATGAGCTTTCTATAGCAACTGAGCCTAAGAAAAAAAATATAAAAAGAATAGTGATGCTTTTTGTGTTTAATTATACAATTCTGAGGTATGTACATGTATAATGTATCAGAAAAATTACAAAAAATGGAGAATTCTCTCCTAGCCATTTTTGACAAAATTTAGTCTTTTTACCAAAGGCTACACAGCGGTATAGCCTTTGGTCGTTGGACCGATTTTTGAATAACTTCAAAAATTCATTAAAAATCCAAATTTGATCAAAATCAGCTCAAAATTGATAGAACATGCATATGTATCAGAAAAAAAATATAAAACACAAAAATTCTTTCCTTGCAATTTTTGTCAAATAACATAAAACAAATTAGTTTAGAACAAACAGGTCCTTGTTCTCACCTGTTGAAGCTCCCCAGTACAACAGTCTGTCCACTAGGAGATGTCGCTGAACACATAAACTCTTTCTCATCTTCTTCCTTTGAATAGTCAAACTGTTGAATAGGCTTACCTACATGTACCACTGTAATAATAATCATAATACCGTATAGCCGGTAATTTTTGTGGGTCCTATAATTCGCGAAATCTACTAAAATTCCAATTTGCAGATTTTAATTTTGCAAATTCTACCATGTGTGCCATGCGAGTACCGTATAAAATTAATATTCACGGATTTTATTTTTGCAAATCCGGAAGGAATCCACGAAATCTATGAAATTTGCAACCCACAAAAATTACCGGCTATACGGTGCATGTACATGTGTACATGTAAATGTCATACACAGTTTACACACAAACAATGTACAACTAGAACAAAAAAATTTAAAAAATTATTTAGTGTAGGGTTGAGCCTCTGTTGGATTTGAACCTATGAAATGAATTTAAACCATTCATGAATAATTCTGTTTGATGTTAATGATATGAATGAGGTGTCCAAATGAAACACCAACATGTCAACCCTACACTGCACGTATAATTGTCCAATCATCATCATTGCTCTAGGCAATAGGCATGCACAAAATTTACCATAATGCTCATTCAAGCATTTAATTGCCACACTATATAAGCATTGATAGCAATACTCATCAGTGCTGCTATAGCCATACCTGCAGTGTAGGGTTGACATGTTAGTGTTTCAAAGGTGATGCAACCCTACAGGGGCTTGTTTGAGTTCCTTTTATACTTTCAAACCAGCAACCCTACAGGGGCTTGTTTGAATTCATTTCATAGGTTCAAATCCAACAGAGGCTCAA